AAGGACTCGCCTCCTTCTGGGACTCTGAGGAGCACAGGGACTGGCCTCTTTTTGCGACTGAGGAGCACAGGGACTCGCCTCCTTCTGGGACTCTGAGGAACACAGGGACTGGCCTCTTTCTGCGACTCTGAGGAGCACAGGGACTCGCCTCCTTCTGGGACTCTGAGGAGCACAGGGTCCGAACGAGACATGGGGAGGCAGCGTTTTGCCTTTATCCAGCTCAAATCTAGAACTGGCCTTCAAGAACTGTGAGACTGACTTCTACAATAGAATAGAAAATCCAGGTTCTGTTTAGCTGTGCAGACAACTGAAGGATTGTAAAAACGTTTTCAATGTACTGTGATTACTTATGGTTGTAATGCCTTATGGGCTTTTGTTTTTACCTAATTTTATCAAGATTTTTAAGTTGCCTTGTATATGAACTGTGCAATAAAAATAAACATATAACCTCGCTTATATCATGAATACAATTAAGACATAAGGAAAATTACTGACACAGAGTAATGCGTGCCATGTCGTTGCCTGGTCATTAAAACCTGCCGTGTCCAGTTAAAACAGTATTATTTGCAGAATATTATAAGCTACATAAAAGTGGAGCTGGTCATGTCCTCAACAACCAACTCCTGAGAGCTGATTTTGGTCTGCTTCCAAACGTCTGGTCTGAGTTCAAATGAAATGTGATCATTAGAAGAAATCCAAACAGGAACAAGCAAGCATAACAGTAAAACAGGAATTAGGAGATTTGAGGCATTTGTGAGATCAGAAAATACTATCATTGTTCAAATCAAATAATAAAACAAAAAAACATTGTGCAATAATAAAATGTTCCAGACGTGGGATACAAATCAAACGTGCAGGAAATAACAAATTACAGAGGTCCCTCCACTGTATCGCGGTTCACCTTTTGCGTCCTGGCTTTTGTGTGTTCATTTTGTGAGCTTTTTTACAGTGTACTTGCCATGCGCTATGTGTGTACTCCAACAAAATCATACACAACATCATGTAACCGCTAGTACAACATGACCTTTATGCTGAAAGATAAAATAGGTAAGATTATGAAAAGATATAGGGCTGGGTGCAGATGTAACAGGATGAAGAAGCGCCATCCAAGGAGCCATCTGCACCAGGAGCAGAGAGCCAGCTGCAGCCACAGGGGACGACACAGGACCCAGAGGAGAGAGGAGGCCCTGGACTCCCACAAGGTCCAGGAGTCAGACCCACATCGGAACCAGAGGAGAGAGGAGGCCCCGGACCCTCACAAGATCCAAGAGCCAGACCCCCACCTCAGCTCCCTCACCTCAGCTCCCAATAACATGAATTTGAATAGATAAAGTTATTATTATTACTATTATTATTATCATTATCGTTTCAGGGAACAGGTCAGCAGTTGTGAATTCAGGTGGTGAGGGATTTTACAACCTTAAAACGTGTAGCTGCTACGTCACCGATTTCTAAGTTTATTTATAGAACGTACCCCCCACCATAAAGCAGGTACCACCGGTCAGTAAAAACCCGGCTGTACCGCATGTCTCCCCCTGTTAAGTGCGTGTCATAAACCCTCCACACGTCTCCAACAGGACTCCTCTTTGAGCGCTTGTTTGTTTTACACACTCCTGGAATTGAGGTTTGGTCCGGGTCAGCGCCGTTCTCCCGTGTTTATGAGGCCATTCTGAAGCCTCCAGCGGGACAGCCTGTGGCCATGATGAGGACGGGGAGGGGGGCCTCGATTCCCAGAATGCACCCCCTTTGTCCCGAGTCCCGTAGAGCGACCCTCATCAACAGACCGAATTGTGAAGAGCGGGTTTCCCTGGCAACGCATACCAAAACAAGGCAGCAGTGTGGTGTGAGACTTGGGCAGGCTTTTACAGCACGTCAAACATTGCGTTTTGATTCAAAAATGGTCATTTTTATTGCCGTTTTGAGATGTGGCTACCGTCTAAACACATGAGCTAGGGCCAATAATGTGGAAAATATTGGGTCTATGGAATTTCTCAGCAACATGATACTTGTAACTGGTCTTTTATTGCTTGTAAAGTGCGGCCATTAATATAATATCACTTGTTAAAACTAGCCCTGGATTTTCCATTTCCATACAATTATTTTTTGATCAAGGAGAAAAGGCGAGTATGAATATTTTTGTTGTATTTTGAGGCTGTAGTTCAAATCCCGAATACAGTTTATAATATTAAGATTACCTAATTTATAAGAATATGATATAATATTTGTGTGGCCAGTACTTTCAATCATATAAGTCCTGTTTCCACAAACCCAGTATAGATGAAAAAAAAGTATAATTATATGAACGCTGACTTCGAGCGCTACTTTTACAACATATCTGCCCAGGGGAAAAACAAATATTAATACTTTCTCATTGCAAATACGGCGTCATTTCCACAACATGATGTCATTAGCTAAAAAGATCGCAAAGAAAGTCTGTTTTTGGTCACGCTTACTAATTACCACCACCTCCAGTCTAAATGCCCCGTTAGTGAGGTAGCACTAACAATCTAACTTATGACCACATGTGATCTGCCTTTGGCTGAGGCTGTGAGAGGAAAGAGTATTAGGAGAAGCTTTAAGCAAGACAACTAATCAGCACTTTTACTATATGTTTTTACAACCTTAATCCTAACCATTTCTTATGTCGTAAATACACACAAATACATCGTAAATGAAGGTGCAAGAAACAAATTTATGAGAGGCTAAACATAAGAAATTGTTGAAAATAAAGTTGATGTTGTCCATATATAATCTATACTTGTATTTCAACACTAAACAACAGCTGATGGAGCAAAACAAAGCCGATAGATGACTTTTTAAAAAACTGGTTACAACATGACTTAATGACGAGGTGTTTTATAAACTATGTCAGGACTCGGTTACTTATGTATTTTGTCAATAAATGTGTGTGCTATAGCTACTAAAACTTGATTTCCATAAACTTCAATAAAGGCCAAAAATAATGGGTAATAATAATAATAATTTATGTCATTTATTATGGACCTTATAATCCCACAAAACCTCAAAGTGCAAAAGATTCATATTCAATACAAAAATAGATCAAAGTACATATACAGTACCTTTTTAAATCAATAATATGTTTCAATAAATCAACATTTTTTGTGATGCACATTTAAAAAACAGCCTGGACTTACCAAAGTGCTATACAGACACATGCAAAAAAAAAAAACTTGCTTCCTGGTTTTGGAGAGAAAAGGTGCGTCTTAAGTATAGGGATATTTATGTTTTAATGTCATTTCTATACCAAAACCCAAAATGTAGCTTGTTTGACTAAAATATTATATGCATTCATTTTTGCCAACACAATTTCATGATGTTATTTCATACACTACAACCCTCACCTGTAAGCACTGGCTAAACTTGCCTAATCCAAAACTAGTTTTGCATTTCCCTCAGTTTAGATTGACACAACGCCAGTGTTTCCCACACATAGACTAATCTGTGGCGCACCGCCACAGATTAGAGACCGCCCGCCACAAATTGCGTTTCGTATTATTATATATATATTTTTTTTGTTACGCTATTTAAAACATGCATCGTCTAGTGCCGCCGCAGCGGTCAATTTGACAGCGGGGAGGGGGGTTTAAAATGTGGCGGCCCTTCGTAACTCTCACTCAAGCTACGCGTCTCTCCCACATACAGAGACCTACACACACACAGCCCCTCCCCTTCGTGCACACCGCGTGTCTCCGTCTCCATCAGCGATCATCGCTGTAAGCAGCTGTGTCTATTCATTTACCGCGGTAAAGTGGCCCGCATCTTTCAGCTCTATGAACATGCGGCCCGCATCGGGGAAAAGACGGTGCGCGTTTTGTTGAGAACTTACGGTAACAGCGGAACGTCCTTTCGGAGTCACCCATTTTTATCGAACAGAAAGCGCGCTGGGGTCAGGGAGACACGTTTTTGTGATTAAAACCTTATAGAGATGCCACCCGGCACACATAGCACCAGCCCCCTACGATTCCTCCGGCAGATTGTGAGTCCTCAGGAGGACACTCTATTGTTTACATGTATAAAGTACACAATTTGGTCCGCTAGTGCAATTTTCAAGTATTGTAACTATTTACTGGAATAAGGTGTGCGACTAATTTCACTTGACTCATGACCTTATTATTGCCCTCTGCCACTGTACCAAAGACCAGAAACTTTTACTGTAGAAATATTGAGAAATATTGAGGTAAAGTAGCCATTTTGGTCCAAAATACCTCCAAAATAGTCAAAACATGTCACTTTTGATCTACTGTAACTTTTTACTGTAAAAAGGTGTGCGACTAATTTCACTGGATTCATGACCTCAAGATTGTCCTCTACCACTGTACCAAAGACCAGACACTTTTACTGTAGAAATATTGAGAAATATTGATTTAAAGTAGCCATTTTGGTCCAAAATAGCCTAAAAATGGTCAAAACATGTCACATTTGATCTACTGTAACTTTTCACTGTAAAAAGGTGTGCGACTAATTTCACTGGATTCATGACCTCAACATTGCCTTCTACCACTGTACCAAAGACCAGACACTTTTACTGTAGAAATATTGATTTAAAGCAGCCATTTTGGTCCAAAATAGCCTAAAAATTGTCAAAACATGTCACTTTTGATCTGCTGTAACTTATTACTGTAAAAAGGTGTGCGACTAATTTCACTGGATTCATGACCTCAAGATTGTCCTCTACCACTGTACCCCACTCCCCCCCCCGCCGACGACCACCACACATTGCCTTCAAACCTGTGGGAAACACTGAACGCCCTTAACACCAGTGCGCTCCTCGATGCTAATCTGCTTCGAGATTAACATGTCTTTGTACTGAGCTGTAGTAGTCCCCTTTTTTTTTTTTTTTTTTACACTTCTACTTTTTCTTTGAGGAGGGCTATCTCATTTCATCCCCCTCTCGGGCCGAACCACATGACTCAAAAAGTTGGGAGAAAGAAAGCAAGAAGAGGAGGGATTTCTGGAGACAGCTCCCCAATGAAAACCACATGCAGGACACAGAGCAGAGGGGAGGGGAGGGGAGGAGAGAGGAGGAGAGAGGAGGGGAGGGGAGGAGAGAGGAGGGGGAAAAGGTGGGAGTGACCCGGAGCGAGAGTGACATTCCCGACGAGCACGGCAGCACGAGAGGAGCACAAAAGACAAGAGGTATAGCGGACTATCCTCTTGGACTCGACCTGGGACTTCCTTTTTTAAATTTTTATTCCAAGATTCTCTAGGAAGAGGAGAGACCGACCGATCGCAGACATGTCTTTGGTGAGAAGGAACTCCAGCAAAGTGGGGCTGCAGAACCTGATGAAGTAAGTGTGTTATGGCTGTGTAGGGATGCAAACTTATTGTTGATGTCTGGACAGTGGAAAGAGTTTTGTGTGAGGATATTTTTTTTATTTTGTTGAGTATTTGCTAAACATTCTCCTATGAAGAGAAGGCAGAGTTTGTGCTGGTGTAGGCTGGTTGGGAGATTATGGATGAGTTAATGGACATTCTGCCTATCTGTTATTTCAAATGTACTTCTATTGTTGTGAAGTAACACTGGTCCTGTTTGTACAATACCTGGCTGAGGTTGCATTTATTTAGGCTATTTTAATGTTTTATTATATTAATATTATTCACTATATCTTGTTTAATTGGTTCATCAAATCAATTATTTGTGTTTTTTTTTCTTTCCATTTTTCAATTACATTTATTTTTGCATAGCCCAGTCTTTTCAAAATCAGTGATACGGCGACAACAGATCAGAGAATCAAACGGTGGGATGAGAGGAAACGTAAGGAAACACCCGTATACCAAAATAGGTCCATAGTGAGCGGAATGACCACTGTTCATAAGTGTTAAAACATAGATAGATATATAGATTTGTATTGATTCCCGTATGAGAAATGTGCATAAATATCTCAGGTCATCACTGTCCTTAGACCCCCTGCATCAGTAAGGAACGACCCAGAATCACTTTATCACAACAAAACAAAAGATACTACTAGAATTGTTAGATTCTTTTAAGCTATATATTTTTCTTTGTTGCTTGTATAATAATAATAAAAATCTAAATTTGGGGTACCTATTTTTGAAGCCACAAAAAACTAAAAACGGTAGTTCCTCATAATGAAACAGGCTTTTCCAAATTAAAAAAAGCAAAAAAGAGAGGACCACCCTGACTCAGCCAATCAGCTCTCAATGACCCAAAGAGACAAATAGTGACTCCCAGGGCTCTTTCTTACAAGGACGCAAATAAGACAAGACTCTTTCTGTTGGGACACGGATGGACCATGCTAACCCGCTAGCTAGCTCAACGAAGCTCAATACGGAAGTGCTAACCGACAAAGTTTTGCTCCAACTCCCAACTCCTCTATCTCAGTAACCATTTTGATATTGTCTTTGTAAATCCAAATATGAGACGCAAAGATGAATCAATCGATGCCTCAATTCGCCAGCTTGCCTTAGCAACCATCTTAGCAACACGTTTGCCCCCGGAACAAATGCCCATATAAGGAAATAGGCTCCAGCTAGCTTATATTCAAATCTGAAAACACTATAATGACGTCAGCACTCGGTCAGTCCAATCCTAATATACAGTCTATCCACACAACATTGATTATTTATTATTAACCTTAAATCTTAGGTACCCCAGCTTTAAGAAATAGCCCGGTGAGTCACTCTATGATCACCTGATTCTGGTAATCCTCTCTGCATCCCTGTTTCTTGCCTGAAAACCCCCGTTCTGAACCTGTGCTAGTCCCCCAAAAGCACAAACATGCGAATACCATGGTGTGACAAAAGGTAACGTGAGAGAATTGTGAGATTTCCAAACGTTTCTGAACAGTTACATCAGTAAATACACACAATGAAGTAACTGACCTCTTCGGACCAACACAACATTTGAGTTTCTCTTTGCTTTGGCGTTAATGTATAAACAGCCGAGGCCGCTTCTTTTGACGTTTTTGTTGGGGGTTAGAGAAAACAAGGGGTGCCATTAGAGCGGCATGCTGGGGGCAAATGGAGGATTAAAGCTACTGTTGGTGTTTTGGGTCATTTGGGGTTTTGGGGCAGATTTGGTCCAGATTAGAACGGCCTTAATTTCGGCAACAATCAACAGCCTAAGAAGCAACACATGTGGTTCTATAATCTCTATTGTTGTGGTGTGATAGAAGACACTGTGGTAGTATCTTTCAGAGCTGGCTGGGACCATTAAGCTACTTTACGGGACATATCCAGATACAGGGGTCATCTTGTTTGCATTTGTGTGACTAAATCTTGACGATCACCTGAATGAAGGACACACTGTAAACTACCTTTCACAAAAATATTAAAAAGGTAATAAAACAAACAAAAGAAGATACAGGGGACTTTTGACTTTTCATGATTTGATCCAATAAAAAAATAGAAAAATAAAAAAAGGCATGTAGCGCAAAAATTTGATCTAATTCTCAACCCCCACACACTTAATGATTTGGCACCACCTGCATGTGAGACCTCTGAAGCTAAGCAGGGTAAGGCCTGGTTAGTACTGTGATGGGAGACTTCACCCACATTGCTTTGTATGAGTGCTGTGTGATTGGAGGTGGTCAGAGGGGCTACACTTCAGTCTACTTGTTAATGTTGCTGCATTTGACCCGTGTGACCCTGACCCTATGGGACTACAAATGGAAATTAGCCTTTGGCTATAATCTGGCATGTTTACATTCATGTTTTTAATGTCTGTTCATTGACATGCACTGTCCCATTCAAATAAATAAATAAATAAATGCCCCAGGACAGCTGTGGCTACAGAAGAAGAATAGAGTAAATAAATAACGCCTTTGTGAGTCCAAAAAAGTGATACATAAAAACAATTAATTATTATATATATGAGACGATGTTTTTGTCAAATTTGGACATGAAAACAAGTGCGATAACTGAAAGGTTGCTTAGACATAGCAATGCACGATAAATAGCAATAAAAAATTCCACTTTTTGTAACAAAGAAGCAAGAAAATATTTCTCTGAAGCTTGTTTCAGCACACCCATAATGACAGTGATAATTCTGTTTTTGTCCTGTGTTGACCCATCTGTCCTGGTTCTTTCCCTGCCCACCCTGCTGTGCATATCGTTTTGTGAAACACGAGTCTCTGGTGTAGCCTAAACATTGATTTCCAAAGCGGTTTTACTTTCTCTTGGGTTGGGGGGATTCTCTCTTGCCCAAAGAGGAAATGGTGTCACGACCCCTGCCCGAGCTCAGAGCAGGCTTTGGCTCTTGTCCTGTGGGTGTCTACACGTCCTGTCTCCACTATCTCTCCCTACAGCTGGTCCCAGACTTTTCTACGCTCCGTAATGAATGCCGTCTGCTTGTGATGCTTTGATCAAACAGGATTCTTCTCTTCATATATGTCAGACTACAATGACTGGTGCTTGTTTGAATCGTAAGAAGCAGAAACACCTTGACATTCTGGTTTTACGTCAAAGCTGGGCTGCCTAACTTTTAACCCATAACAAAAAATAATATATCATACAAATCCATGTAACTTCTTTTTTGGCTATGCTGCAAAAAGTGATACAAAATAAGTCCAAAATGGCTCAATTCTGGCAAAATGTATCTTCATTTGAGCATATTGTGATTGCCTTAAAACAAGACAATGGGACAAGCAAAATGATCTTGTTTTAAAAAGATACAAAGAAATGAAAACAGTTTTTGAAATAACACCAGATGGCTTGGTCCCGTTGGCAAATCTTGTTTTAAAACAGTCAGAATGTGCTCAAATTAAGATAAAAACCATTCGATTCAAGCAATTATTACCTCATATTTTATCATTTTTTGCAGTGTATCACTAGTTTTCACAAGAATGTACTGTATGTTTTGTCTTTACACCAGCTTATTCAGACAGAAACATGAAAAAGAGAGATCATCCTCACTCAGTTAGCTCTCAGCCCAAAATGTGAAGAAGTAACTCATAGGGCTCTTTCTTACCATTGTGCAAAAGATAACATAAGACGGCATGTTGTGGTCTGATTTGTTAAACACATTGTACTTTTAATTTCTATTGGGATTAACCTAAAATAAAGTTAGATACCCCAACATCAATGTAATATTCTTAAATTGAATATATAGAAAAGATTGTATATTTTGGTTGGGCTACACAGCTTTCCAGAACAGGGGTGTCAAACTCATTATGGTCGGGGCCACGTTTAAAAACAAAGGTGCTGGTTGGGGACAAAAGTATAGTGTTTTACTTATTTTATCTATTTTTTTATTTTGCCAACTTTATTTTGTTTTACATGAGTTTGTTCTCCATCAAATATCAAAACAAAATACTGTATAAATGAAGTCTCATAGTGAAATAAATAAAAAAAATCTTAAACTTCACTCCTAATAATTTTACATTTTAGAACAGATTCAATTATATGGTTAGAATAAATATCCCATTCCCATCAATGCTGCAAGTTACTGTAATAAGTATAACTGAAAATCATTTCAAGGGGGCACTATAAATTGTCTTGTGGACCGGATTTGGGCCTGAGTTTGAAACGCCTGCTCTATAACATTCCCTGGCTTTGAGATATATAGTCAGTAAATCTCAAAGCAGCTGTGTGACATTGGGCAATATACATCTAAATAATATCCAAAAGTCTGCGCTCTGATGCGTTCATTCTCCGTCAGCGATGATTCAAGTTTTTACAGACAGTTTCACGATGTAACTTCTCTGTGTTTGGATGACTCCGCCGTAAAAAGGGGCTGTATCGCGGGCTCAAATGTGAACTTTTGGGTGACTCACGCTGAGTTATGGGACAGATAACAGCTGGAAGAGGCGCGTCCCGCTCTGATTCAGTCCACTCAGCAGATGGCACCGGCCCGAGGGAAAACATGACATCACTCCCCAAACACTGCACGACGCCTGTGACTGCGAGAGAGAGAGCGCCCTGAGCCCTGGCACCGGGCCGGAGGTCGCTCACAGTTGGGAAATAGTGGGATAACGGCTCTGATACGTACGGCAATTGTTGTTATTGTTGTTAATCATAGATGTTTCAAAAGCAGACGACGCATTCATGATATTGGAGTTTGGGATGTGATATACCAATAGCCCTGTTTCCACCAGCCCTACTTAGCCCTGTTTTACTCTACTCTAACCTGACCTTTTTTAGTAGCTGCTTGGCCCTATAGATCTATCCAGGCCGAGCTGGTACTAAACTGTTCTAACTGACAGAGATTGGTTGTAATTAAAACACATTTTAATGGGAAAATATTGCGATAAACATAACCTAACATTGTAAGTGATTTTTAAAAATACT